ACGCCCGAGAGAGGAGGAGGATGCTGGGGCTCAACGTGGCGTTCGACCGGCTGCGGAGCGTCATCCCCAACCTGGAGAGCGACAAGAAGCTCTCCAAATCTGAGACCCTCCAGATGGCGCAGATCTACATCGCCACCCTCAGCGAACTGCTGGAGGACGGCGCCTCGGTACCGAGCCGAGCACCGCGGCCCCCGCCCTCACAGGGGACCACACCTGCGTCAGGGGAGCCATCGGGGCCGCCTGCATCGGGGCCGCCTGCATCGGGGCCAGTCAGGGACTTTGAGAGCGGGAAGAGCAGCGGGGGCCCGGCGCGCACAGAGGAGGAGCACAGGAGTTATGGGGAGGACATGTGGGAGAGAACGAGCGGGACCAAGTGACGTTCAAAAGCTCCAGGAAGATTTTCAAATGAGACTTTTTATTTTTTATATTTTCCTACAAGACTGTAACGATCTGTTTCCTGCTGTCAGAGAAACATTCAGCTCAAACATGTGTAATGTGACCTTTCATTATCTCCACAACTGTTCACTGAGCTTCAATGTACTGTATTCCTGATATTATATTATCATCTCTTCTGGCCCTCCTGACCAATCAGGTTGCAGCTCAGACACTTTCCAAGAAAGTTTGCAGATGAAACAGAAAAAACTGTTTTAAAGCAAAATTCACGTTTCAAAAACAAAAGATGGAGCAGGGAGTACTGAAAGTAGCAATTTTTATTATTTTAAAATTATGTACAGGTAACCAAAGACATCAGTCTGCAAATTGGTACAAAGATCAAGTTTTCCTGCAGTTGGCTTGTTAAGAAGCTCTCTGTCTGTCTGTCCAAAACAACAACACGACTGGGAGAAAAGGCTTTAGAAAATGAAAAATAGAGTCAGATTCAGAAAAGTAGAGTCTACCAGGTCTAAATTTAAATTTAATCCCCCACCCACCCGCTCCACCCTACCCCACCCACAATCCCACCCTCCCCATTACCCATCAGCCTCTCCTCCTACGTGAGGAAATCAATCTATGTACAAGAACTATGTACAAAAAGCTCTTCCATTCATTCTTCCAGACGTCTGTGAATAAAGCTCTTGTAAACTTTAAAGAAAAAAGGAGTGTGAGGGTTAAACTGTCTGTGTGTCAGCGTGTGTGTGTGTTAATGATCAGAGAGGAACAGGCGAATGCAAATTAAAGGGATGAACATGCTTGATGAAAACGTGCTTCAAACTTTTACAACAGGTGAAATGTAACAGAACTCATCTGTATTCAGAAAGAACAAAAAAAAAAATACAATTATATCTTAATTTTCCAAATCGAAACATCAAATCAAAACAATTACATCTCTGTCCCACCCTGGATTATCAGAAAATACCAACTAAAGAACTCCAGGCTTTCTGAGACTGTCTGGGGGAAGATTTATTGTTCTGCCCTGATGGCCAAACACTGTGGAGAAGTTCCAGGAACAAACGATCAATAACCAAAAGCTTTAAAATGTGATTAGGACAGGTGATTAAAAAAATAAATAACAGTTTTTTTTTTTTTTGGAAAACCAGATTATCACTTTTCATTTTGTCAACATTTTCGTTCTGTTTGGAAAGTGAATCATCCAATCGTAAACCTAAGTGCCAAAGATTCATCTGTTTTTCTTTTTTACATCCTTCCTCCGAGTTTCACCTCACCAGCTTGTCTTCAACACTGCGAACGAGACGGAGCGAAGAACAGTTGGTACCGCTTTCTAATAAGGCCGATTTTATAAATGACGTTGTAACTGTTTGCTTTATTAATAGTTAAAGGATCATTTATTAATGCTTTATTAATGAGTTATAAGCCATTAAAGGGGCACTCGACCGATTTTAAACATGAAGTTCAGTTTATTCGTCATGGTAACAGTTCTTCTGTGTCTCTGGTCTGAAAAGGATCTGAAAACAACTGACAATGTCAAAGCCACTATCCAGTTGCATTATGGGACTCGTAGGATCCAGTGTTTTTGGCGTTGGACCCATATTAAAAAAAAAATAAAAATCAAAAAACTAACTTTTACTAAAACTTCACTTTTTATCTAGTTAGAGCCACATTGTTGTTAATAACTTAACGTTAACAAGCATTTATAAGCGTGTACAAGCATAATGCTGGAGGATCAACACCAAACAGATGTTTCACAACGTGGAAATGTATCAAAAGCCAAAAGTTCAGACAGAATTCATCTTTGAGTCGCCATTTTGGACCTATCAACCAGAAAGGACACCTTTTTTTAAATTTACAAACTTTCCCCTGGTGTTGCTGAAATGCATTCTGGGAACACCAACTCGGGCTAAGGGAAACGTCAAAAAGATCAGAGGAGGATTTTTATATGAAGTGTACAAACTGGGAACTTTTGGATTTGACAGCTACAGCTGAAGTCAACCTGATCGCTGAAAGCCTCTAATCGCCGGTGGTTCGGTTCAAACCAAACTAAAGAAAAGCAGCACGTCTTCACCTCTCGGACCGGTGCCTTTGTGCTGTAATTGAAGGCTCTTCTATGAGCAGCGAGCACACACGCGAGCGGTAATTGAAAGGACCTGAAGGAGGACAGGTTCTGGTCCGGAGGGCTCGGTTCCCACTGAGACACAAAGCTTTGTTGTCGAGTGAGAGGACGATCGATTCTGTGAAAGGAAAAAGTTTCTACTTGTGGACGGGGGCAGGGAGTCGTTCAAAGTTTCCAAAGAGTTTGAACACCTTCAAGGGTCAATTGTGTTTTAGTCTCAGGTGTGTTGGTGGGTGCTGACTGACTCTGTTTGGTGGGTGCTGACTGACCAGGGTGTGCTTTGGCACCCTGGTACCTGTTTCGATAACGGCATGAGAAGGACAACCAATTTAAAATGCGCTAGTTTGCTACAGAGGTTGAAGAGGAAAGAGAAGCGCAAAGAGAAGATTTCTGGTTCTAAACGGATTAAAACACCTAAGAACAGACCTTGAGTTGGCGGTCCCACCTTAAATACCACCTTAACGTTACAAAAGCCTGCCATTCAGGGTCTGAACTCTTGCCATTTCTGCGCTCTTGGGTGAGGAAAGATCAATACTTTTGATTTATCTACCTCAAACTGCCTCCTTCCGACAGAGTCGAGGTCAAAGCGGCAAAAAGAGAAGAAGGAGAAGAAGAACACAGCGTGTAAAGCAATTATTCTGGTCAGTAGTTGTTTTTTCTTCTAACCACTCGAGTTGTTTTGGCGATTATCGGCTCCAAAGGCAGAGCGGAGGGGTGCAAGGCTTTGATGACAGGCTGGAGAAAATGGCAGCTCCACTCCAATCTGCCTCCGATCAATACGAAGGCGGGGTGTTTTCACGAGGGATGGGGTGGGGGGGGTGAGCAGGTGAGAGAAGAGCTGAACTGTGAGGAAACTTTCAAAGGAAATGTATCAAAAGCCAAAAAGGAAAAGAAAAATAAACGGCTGGAAAAAAACATCAATCTGAGCAGCTTTTATAAATACAGGAAGGGTGGGAAAAAAATAAATACTGACTTGGATTGTATCTTTAATAAAAGTAAAATAAAATGTGATCACAGCTGAGTTCGGGGCCGACGTCCCTCAAGAAGTCATAACAGTTAAATCCATCTGAAGTCAGTTTAGGGAAAAGGGAGGAAAGTTCCTGTAACTGGAGGATGAGGAGCACGAGGAGCACGTCTGGTCACAACACGGAGAGGAAGATGATGATGATGATGATGATGATGATGGTGGTTGTTGTGTGTCTTTGAAGAAACAGCGGTTTCCAGCAATGAACTTAATCAGAGATGAGGAGGATAAGGATGATGATGGTGATAATGACAGAGATGAAGGAGATGGTTGTGGTGTGTGTGTGTGTGTGTGGTGTGTGTGGTGTGTGTGAGACAGGCTTCTCTCTAGCAGTGCTCCAGGTAGTCAATGATCCGGGAGATGGACTTCTGTCCTGTGGTGCCGACGTCACACTGTAGAGAGAGCAGAGGTCAGTTTCTACACACGAGGGGGTCGATAGCTTCGTCTCACGACGGGACACAGCACTCTCCACAACACTCACTGCTGCACAGACACTTCTCAACACACCTCAACACCACTCTCGACACACACGTCTCACCAGACACCTCACCACACGACTCTACAGCACGCTCTCAAGAACATCTCTTCACACACACTCACACACACACTATTTTATCTGGTTTGGTATTTTGATAATCTTTTGGTCTCTTAATTCTACGGCTGTTTACCTAATATTTCCTCTTTACACTATTGTTTATAGTCATCATCATCATTAGTGCTTTACAAACACTGGCCATGTGTTGTCCTATTCAGCAATGATTAACTATATTGTGCTTGATCATTAACACATGTAGGATTTGTTTTTCCTCAAGATCATTAAGATATTCGGAGTTTGGATGTGAGACTGACACACCACACCCCTGTTTGAACTTTTCTTGCTACTAAAAATATAAAAATCGTCGTCTTTTCGAGTGTTTATTAGGTAGTTTTTATAACAAGTGGATTTCCAGACAAAGGGCTGTGACTCACAGTGAGGTTCATGAAGTTGAGGAACTTTTTCAGCATTTCTGTCATGATGGAGAAATCTCCTTTTGGCAGGTTCTCCCTCACAGTAGTCACATTCAACTGGTGAGAGACATTGAGACAAAGAGAGAGAGTCAAACAATATGATATACACACAATAAAGAATCAGAAAACTGACATTAATTTAAAATGTTATTTACTGCTTAACCCTGATCATTCTGAGTGCATACTGTGATACTGCGTGTATCTCAGGTTTTATATGTGCAAAAGATGCTGATGTGGTGTGTTCATGTGCAGCTGGGAAACAGGAAATTTAAAGCCTTGAGGTTTTTCACTTTACTCAAGTTAATTTGCATTTGACGCATTAAAAAAAGACCACAACTGGTTTACCATCAGTACTGAGCATGCATCACTTCTATATCTGACCTCTTTCTTGTTGTAAGACTGCGTGTGTGTGTGTGT